CCTGCCAGTGCTCCAATGCCAGCAGCTCATTTCAGCTGGTATTGGAGCTCTGCATGCTCCAATGCCAGCAGCTCATTTCAGCTGGCATTGGGGCTCCGCCTGCTAGTGCTCCAATGCCAGCAGCTCATTTCAGCTGGTATTGGAGCTCTTCCTCCTTTAATACCAACGATTCATGTTGGCTGGTATTGGAGCTCTGCCGCCTTCAATACCAACGATTCATGTTGGCTGGCATGAGAGCTCTTTTACTCATTCTCTCACCCTCTTTGTTGGGTGGTGGAGCTTCCCCTCCCTCCACCACAACTTGACAATCCTACAATCCTAGATGTCCCCCACTCCTCTCCTCAACCCCTATATTTCCCTCCCAATTCCTACTCATTTTCTACCACAAACACTACCAGCACATTTCAATTGGTAGGCGGTTTGCCCGTGCCACCTTCTATTTGTCGCAAGAGGTGGTGCGGGCCTGCTGGAGTAAAGAGAAACAGCCAAAAGAGGGAATGGTTGAGGAGAGGAAAATTGAGATAGTGGGGGGGCATTATTTAGTCAACAAGTGTGGAGGGGGGGGGATAGGGTGAATGGAGTTGGAAACGGACGGGGGTCCGGTGCTTGCTGGCCGGTTATAACCATTGGACCTGTCTTGTGAACATATGTATTACATCAATGCTTGGATATTTGCGAAGACAAGTTATTGTTGTCTGGTGTTTTCTGGTGTTATAATGTATCTACACTTATTACAATAAACCACCCTCCTCATCCTCACACAGAGGATGAAGAGCTGAGAATTACCATGATACTTCTATAATGCTTACTTGTCCGTCCCATCATCATCCACTAGCTGGTGCATTTTCGTTCGACTACCCCCCTCCCCCTTTCGGGGAAGGGGAAAGGGAAAGGGAAAGGGAAAAAAGAAAAAACAAAAAACAAAACAAAACAGAGATGATCAAACCAGTCCGTCGATCACAATTCCCGCAACCTTCCCCCCCCCCTCATGTATTCACGGGTAAGCAGGTTATTCCACCCAAAGATTCACCAACTCACATACCTGTCATACAAACGTCGGGGTGGTTCAACCACCACAAGTATGATACCGACCTGGGCATCGCACCGAGCCTCTAAGAGATAAAAGCTCGGCAAGCAAGTAGTACGCTACACTGCCAAAAGCTCAAGCGTGTCACGATCGACCCCGCCCCCGCCCTCTGGCACAGCCCTACCCGGCGGCCAATTAAGGACCTCGTAGCTCCCTCCACCGCTAGTCACCGACAATTCCCACCCCCCCGCTCGAAGCACGGTGGGCAAGACCCGTGCAACCGTCGTAACCTAACGTTCCGGGCAATATCGTACATAATGTGATGAAACATGGAACGAGTAGTGAATGAATGAATGAATGAATAAGTGAATGAAAGAATGAAAGAAAGGGGGAGGATCCCCCCTAGTGACGGAGGGGGGGGGGGGGGAGTGTGGATACTGTCGTGAAGAGTGTGATACTGTATTGTGGCAGGCCTGTCCGGCTCGTTCCGTGCGGGTTTCAAGCTGGCGGTCGCGAGTTACCTGAACTCTGTCTGGGTATTGTGGTTATCGTACCGATGGTTCCGGCGTTGTACGGGATGATACAAGTACTCGTACTGGACAGGACTAGATTATCAATCGAGTGATATTTCATGACGAACTGTGCAAGAGATAAAAATAAAATAAAATAGCGCCTCTCCACCACTGCCTATACCCAGGGCCGCTGCGACACGGTATAAAAGTCCAAACACTCACTCATACACTCTAAAAGATGGTATTTGTGAAAGAGACGTGATATTGTACATGGATAAGAAAGGAAACAGCCGTGCGATTCTAACGTACAGTAGACAGTATCATGACAATGTGCCCAGATTACTCCGGATTAGCCTGCTCTGCCGGTACAATATTAATAAAACGGAACAGTCTGCGCGTGTGTAGTCGTCTAACATGCGTGAGTGGGTCAAGTGATCAATCCTCTTCATCGCTGGATACCACTACTGGCCCCCTCCGCCTAGGCCTTGTGGGTGAGATGTGGACGTCTGATTTTGCAAAGGGCTGTTCGTCATTGTCATCACCGTCGTCACCGGACATCTCCCTGTCTGTGCCGCTCTCGTCATCATCGCTACTTCCGCTTTCGACAGCTCTCCTCTTATTTGCCTCGGCCTGCCCACCAGCCGCGCTCTTCCTCTTCCTGCTATTTTCTCCGCCCGCACCGGTGATTGCTGCCCGATCCTCGTCAGCCCCCCCAAACCCATATTCCATAAAGTCCATCTGCGGCCCGGCACTCTCATCCAACCCTACAGGTCCCATGGCCCTCTGTATCTTCTCCTTTTCGTAAAACAGGTTATCCCTCTCTTCATCACTCTCGTCGTCGCTATCGTGCACGAACAGACTACTCTTTATCATGGCCATTCTCTCCTTCTCTTTTTGTCTCCGCTTAAGGGCACGTTCGGTCGCGGCGTCATCAAGGTCGGAGGCTGAATCTACGGATTCCGTGGGATCCTTTCTACGGCGCCTCTTGCTGGGCTTCTTTTTGGGCTTTTCAGCGCCGGGCATGGGTGTTGGACCGCCAGGCTCGAAGAGGGGCTCTGGCCCCGAGTCCGAGTCGGAATCGAAAACTCGGGGGCGGGGTTTGGGTTTTCGGGAGATGAAGTCTTCGGCGAGTTGGCCATCTGGGAAGGCTGGGGGGTTGTCAGTGTTTAGCTTGAGGAGCTCGAGGGAGGCTTGCAATTCTATAGAAGTTAACTGCGAGGGGATAATCCAGCGAGTGTCGAGGGTGTCGGTTACGTCGAGTTTTTCGAATTTGAGAGTTGTTAGGAGGAGGCGGAGCTTTCCGTCTTTTAGCAACGCAGTTTGGCGGAGTTCGTTGTCTGGTTTTATGTTTATGAATGGCGGGTTTCCAGGGGAAGGTTGGGGATTGGTCTCCGAGTCTGGACCTGCGCCTTCAGCCTCTAGTGCGAGCCTTGCTTCTTCTTCTGCTTCCCAGGATTTGCGCTCGCTGATGGCGGTGGAGAGAACAGTTTTTAGCCAGTCAACTGCATCGCCTTTGTTCTCGTCCAACAGAGCACCCACTACTACACTGACTTGCTCGTTGAATTCTAGTCCCGGCTTGATGCGTAGTTCCGCGGCTTCTCTATTGAAAGGTTAGCATATATTGTAGAAACAGGGAGCTCACATGGCGAACCTTGGCTTAGAAACCTGAGCCTGCTTGTCATAGCCAAACTGCAGGTAATGCATCGTGCTGTTGACCTTTGTAAACAAAAGCTCAACATACAGCTCGGGCCTTTTCTCTAGCATCTTGACTAACTTTCGCATATAATGCTTGAAAAATTGATCCATCTCTTTTCTCGCGGGATGACTATTAGGCAGCCCATCCGGGCCTTGTAGAATTCGATTAAACAGCTCAACAATGTCGATCCTGAACATTAAAACCTCCTGCTCCCTCTTGACAAACACTCGATGGAAGAAAATTATAGCGCGCTTCATCTGACTATAGTTTAACTCCTTGTAGTTCCCAATAAACGCCAGGAACGTATCTACACAGCTCTGCGTGAGGAACTTCTGCTCGAATCGCGAGTAGTTGAATGCTCGCTCCCTCATTGTAGCCTTACTTAGTTCGGCAATCTCTTCGCCTTCCTCTTCCTCCGGCACACCTTCCGCTCCGTCTTCAACGGTAGCATTCTTCTTGCGCTGCGCTCTAGCGCGTTTCCGTGAGCGGACGAACATGTGTTCATGCTGCTTCGAGAATCGCTCGAGCATCTTGAGGTGCACATGCACCATCTCCGTGCAATCGTCCAGCCAGCCAAACGGCTGCTTGGTATAGGCTCGTAGGATCATGACAACGAGGTCCAAGGTCACCTCTTCGTAGAATAATCTATTCTGGATGTTCTCCGCGATCTCTTGGTCATCTTCCAGTGGCGAAACAGCCATATCCTGGACTGTCAATAAGATCTGGGTGAAGCAGCGCATGGCGGATTGTAGGGGTGTCCACTGCCTCGTGTCGAACCAGTCTGTCATTCGGCGATTTAAGGTGATTAAGGATTCTTGGTTCAGGACTGAAGCTACTAGACCGAAGCTCTCAAAGTCGGAAGTCGCGGGGTCTTTGGAGCCTGCCGCTAGAGTTTTGCGACGCATGCGCTCGGCTTTGAGAAACCAAGCTATTAGATAGAAATACTGTTGTTGGTTTGATTCTAGAAGGCGTTGGGCATCCCGATCAATGGCACGACGGAGGTGGCCAAAGAGGGGATTAAAGCCGGCGTCTAAGAACTCCCCGACGAACTCGCGGAGTTTCGCTTTGGCGCACCGCTCAATGGTGAGTGACATGTCATGTTCAGTCTATAGTATCAGGCCCTAGAGTTAGTGGCTTGTAGTCCAAGAGTAGCGGAAATATGTAATGCACCTTGCGGGATACCCCCTTTGTATCTGCACCGCCTGGCTTCCTCCACTTCTTTGACGCATCCATCTTAACCAGGCCAGTGGACTTCCCCAGCAGAGCACCCTGCCCAGAGACAAACGACCGTGTCTTGTCGTCTCTCTCTATCCACACCGTAGTCCCAAACCTATTATGCCGAGTACTTGCGCCCCGAATGCTAGCTCTCTTCATCTCGTCCTCGAGTTTTAGCAGTGTTGTAAGATCCTGACCCTGCTTCTGCGACTCTTGCTCGTCTGTCAAGAACATTTTTTCGATATCCACACTCTTGACCAAGTGGTATATAACCTCCATAGCGACAACATCCTGCGTATTGAATTCAATTCCCATCCCCGAGGACACTACCAATAGAAAATGCAGCACATTCTGCTCCTCCAGCGCTTCGATAGTCGCGCTCCGGGATATCTCCTCCCCTGTGTCCGTCTCTGTAATCATCGGGTGTTCAATCATAACCAGGTTCCGGAAAAAGTAAAGAACGAGCTTTATTATTCCTTCGTCCCTCTCTGTCCGCTCATTCGGTGGCACCGCGACCGAAGGTAGCGCCACGCGAACGACATTTGATAGGATCCTCTTGGACGGGTGCTGTAAGATAGCCTTTTTGTATCCCGCCTGGGCAAACTGGAGAACCGGAATGTGTCGGTGGTGATTAACGGTGGTTTGCTCATTGTACCTCTCGAATGGCCATGTCAGCGGTACGAGTAATTCGATGCAACCGAGTGCCAATCGCTGCTTGATTCGATCCTCAATTTCGTCTTCTTCCCATGCACTTAGGATCTCGAGTAGGTCTCCTTTCACTAGGTTTGCTTCGGCCATACACCGGGCCACCTGGACCGTCCCGTTAGCCAGTCCTTGCTATTCCGCATTGGAGAGGGTAGAGTATACATCGAACCGATTCATCTTTTGATCATACAACTTCAGCCATTTCTTCAGGTCCTTCAAGCAAGCCAGGGCATCGTCTCCAAGCGAGTAGCCGCCGTCTTCGACCGTTGATGTTCCTCCGAGCTATGGTCAGTTAGATATCCAGCCTGTATGGGGGCTTGAATAGAAGGAGGAATGGTCAGTTACCGCTGAACATAGTGACAGTATATGCGCTCTCTGTTCCAAACAAACTATTAGCTTTTGGCCCAAGAATTTGGCAAACCGCAGGGAAATGGGTCTTTACGATCATAGGATCAACTGTCTCCGGAATTTTAGAGAGCACCATGTTGCCTTCCCCTTCGCTCGACATCCTGAACGCTCGTTTCTGGATTTTTCTTTGGTACAAATCTGTCCAGCGCAGAACACTGCAAAGATTGGATTTTGGTTGAGGTCCCGTCGAGTTTGTCAAATTTCGCGACTGGGTTTACGCGACGTACAGTACAGTACGTATCATGTTGGGTCAACGCGTAAATTGAGCTTGGCATACAGGGGTCCTTGCTTCCGGGACTTAGGGCTCACCAATCCGGGTTCCAAGCAGGGGGCAACCGATGCCAATGATCGAGGCAGGCAGATACCGCTGACAGTTTTGGTCTACGACGTAGGGAGAGAGAGAGAGGTTCATCTGGGCATGATAACGGTTTAGGGGGAGGGGGAAGTGAAAATACGGCCACAAGCAATATTTCACTTTGGGATAAAAATGTTTTATTCGTTATCCCAGACGAGATGGGAGTACAGTACAGTATCTTCGTAAGGAGGTGCGCGTGTCCCTTTTCAACCGAGAGTGTGTTTACCTGTTCCCCCCTCTGGTAGACGGGCAAAGGAATTCTAACATCCTTGTACAGCACATTTAACTTCTACACGGATTCTCACGGTACATATGCAGGAGGGGATTCTCCCATAGTTTTGGTGACGGAATTCCTCCTTTAATCCACTGTGTCAATAGACGTGCCATACCGAGGGAGGAAGTATTGGTAACTTAATGTACGTGTTCCAAGCTTCCTTTAAAGAACTAAACTCAAAGGGAATCTCCTCCCCTATGACACTATTTCGACATGCTTCTTCAGCAGAAGATCGAAACACATTCTCAAAACTGTCTCGGCTGCATTCTTTCAATTTGGTAAGTCTATTGACGGGGTGAGCTGCGCAGTACATCTTCTCACAGGATTCCCGAGGCCTCGGGGATTGCCCAGCGAAGCCCACTAGGTTCCCATTCTCCCGAACTGCTGCGGTGCTGATACTACTAGCAAGGCCCTTCTCGAAACCTCGAACTTCCGCATTCGCTCCCCAAGGCATTGGCCCGCCGTGAGGTTTCGCTTACTGAGTTTTGCATGTGAAACTTCCTTTATTCCCCTGTTTTCCAGCCACCTCTCCAGTGTTGCTCCATTTTTGGCGCATGGTGAGAGTCCTCTCCCCGCAAGAGAGAAAGCAAGCATAATGTTGGATTATGGGGATATGGTAGTGACCCTATTAGATGATCCAGATATGTTTCCTGGTTTCTTCAATGGTCGCATGAAAGGCTGGCATAAGCCCCTCAACGCCTCAAGGGAGTTGGGAGTGATTGGCTCAGATTGTGCTTGTATGAAACTTTTAGCCAAATAGGACCTAGCGCCTAGCGATACGGAGCGATGGCAATTGGGGGTCAGTTGCTAGTAAGCAAGGAAGCGTAACCAGGGGTGGTGAATACCTTGCCGGTATTTTCTCTCCTCCTTCCCTTCTCTCGTTTATGGCTGTGCAATAAAACACAAATATATGTAGATAGACTAGTGTGGGCACCTGGTGATTTCGGGGGAGTTGGAGCTGCCACTGGCTTGGTGCTTTTGGCTGTGGTTTTGAACCTTTCGGGGAATGGAACCCGCTACTAGGTGGTAGTATAGTAGAGATCTCGTAGGGGACCCATAGGTGAGCTCTAGAACCCGTTTGCTCCTTGCATTATCGGCCTTGCACAATCCTGTGGGTATCCACCATTGGGCTCGCCCTTCTCCCAATCCGGCGTCAAACTGTAGGGAGTTCTTGCGGATAACATCAGTAGTCTTCTAGTTTGAGAAGTAGCCCTGGGTGACCAAGAACCTCTTTCCTCCGGCTTCTAAATTTTTCAGGGCAAGAATATGTGGCAAAGCAAGACCGTATAGATTTAGTATTACTTTTAGTTCAGCGATGATTTCCTTACCCCAACATCCACCCACAGGTAGACCCCTTTGGGAGGAGCTCCATTCTTAACCTGCCCTTCTATGAAGTAGAGGACTCTCTGCACGATTGTATTAGGCATGGAGCCCGTTTTGGTTCTGTGGATCCCTACCTCGTTGGATGTGTTGAGGCTACTCAGCAAAGAGATATACAGCTTGGCGGGCCCAAAAAGAAGCGGGGGATTAACACTGGTGATATCGAAATTGGGCTTCTCCTGCTTAACAAAATCCCATGCCGCCTTCTCGGGAAACTTCTTGGGAGCGCGCTAGCTGTTGACTGGGTCCAGGAGACCCGCCTCCAGAGTGGTTGGGCTCCAGTCATCCTCGGTGTACGTGTAACCAGTGCCGTTATTCAGTTTATTGAGATCCATAATCGAAGCGGATGATGAGGTAATGACCTAACACAAGTACTTATTACTGTATCAACCCCTACCACCATAACGGCCTTCGAACGATATACGATTCTCTTGGTGCTTGGTGCGAAGGCTTTTGGGGCCTTGAGAACTCCAAGCGTGCCATTCACGGCTAGATCAGTAGTTCGGGATCATGGGCTAGCACTTGTTAGCACCATATTACCCCCGAGGCTATTGGGGTTGGCTCACAGGCAATGAAGCCAGAGGCTCCTAGAATCACACTGGTAAGAAAAATCCCAGAAAAATAGCAGGAGGTCTAGTACAAACCGGCAATCAGAACACGAGCCATCTTGGCAATTGCAAGAGCCATATTCAGTCGCGGTGACCAATTCGGGAGGAATTGAGTAAAGTGGGAATAGATACAGGCCCTGAGTTAGCCATGCCGAAACAAATTGACAAGGTGGGACTCGAGCCAATTTTACTAGATTCCTGACAGTCACCTCATACACATCGCCCTCCGGCCCCAAATGCATTCATCACTCAGGATCTCGGAATTCTTCTAGCATGTCTGTCCAAATTTCAACCAAGATATTATGTCTGGTTCACTCGAGAGGTTGGAGCAACTCGGACTTGTGATGTGGTGCAGAGGTGAGATCTCCGGCTGGGAGCTCTTTTCTTGTCTCTAACTCGAATTTCCACGCCCGGCGTCCCGACCGGTCTGCCAATGCTGGGAATCTTTGGCCTTTCTTTGCCGTAACTTTCCTATTCGCTAAATCGGAGATATGATATCTCCAATAGACCCGGGGCCTCATTGATCTTTCAATTTCACGAATGATTGGACGTGACATGTACTGCTACTTCCTGGCAGTTTCCATGCGGCTCACTGTAAGTTAACGAGCTAATTACAGGGGTGGGAAATCTCCATTGGTTTGTCCTTTCCCTTTTTTTCTTGTGTCTAAGGACGCCGTTAGAGTTGGCGGAGTGTTGGTTTCTGTCAGTTCTCTGCACACGTTTACTTGTGGCTGGTAGGGGGAGATTGTCCACATTCTACGGTATTTTAATGGTGATGCTGTGAGCCAACCCCCACCAGCACTACACCGGCATTCGGTTCGACATGCGTTTCAACGGGGTACAAAGGTGTTTCTGGTATTTAAGTGGACTGGCTCTTTTCCCTGGGGGTGGGAATGGTGCTGCGGAGAGCATTCAGTACTGGTGCCGTGCCGTATCGTGCAAGTGGTGTATCATAGGTTACTCAAGGGCACGTGCCCAAAGCTTCCACCCTTCAGGGAAAGTCTCGTCATTGGCACACATCCTCATCGGTGTTGCCGTCCGGATAGAAATGGACTGCTGGATTCCAGCTGAAGGTTCACAATCTCCCCGGTTCCAACACTTCAAACCCGACACACACGGATGCATCTCTCCGCTCAAAGAAAAAGTCGTTGCCAAGAGCTTCCACCCCGCTCCATCTCACGTGACATTACCACGATCCTCCCACCCACCCATCCAGAATAAACGTACAATTGATCCAGCCTCTCTTTTCCCCAGCCAACGCCTCCGGAGCTTAGATAAAGCGAATCATCGGCCCACAGCCGCTCATTTCTCAACCCCCATTTTCAACTCTTGCCACACATTTACCTTTCCCTCCCTGCCTGCCATCTGATAACTACACCCCTGCGGGAGTTCTTTTAGTTTCTTAACTCTTGCACCATGATCACGGCCGCCAGGGCTGTTCAATGCGCCGCGAGGCTCTCCCGCTCGCATTTTTCTTCACTCAGGCCTGCTGCAACGGCGCGAAGGGGATTGACACCACAGCTGCAGCGCAGATGCATTTCTTCGAGCGGGAAGGATGGCGAGGCCGCTGTAGGGGTGGATGTCGAGAACCGACGGATAGATGCGAGCGACCTTCTGAATAAGATTGGACTCAAGCCCTCGGGGCTTGGTGTTGGAAGTGCTCTGACGGTGGATGCTATGAAGTCCCCTGCTGCCGGTACGCCGCTTTCTCCCCTTTGGTATTTTTTGCGAGGTAATTGGGAGGCTGACGACGGTGGTGAATAGGTATTCTCAAGCAGGCCACAATAATGGACGAGGGCTCTCGACCAATCTACCTTGACATGCAAGCTACAACTCCTATGGACCCTCGCGTACTCGATGCCATGCTTCCCTTTTATACCGGCCTGTACGGAAATCCTCATTCACGTACGCACGCCTACGGCTGGGAAACGGAGAAGGCAATTGATGTTGCGCGTGAGCATGTCGCAAAGCTCATAGGAGCCGATCCGAAGGAGATCATATTCACCTCCGGAGCGACCGAGTCAAACAATATGTCTATCAAGGGTGTAGCAAGGTTTTACAAGTCCAAGAAGCACGTCATCACATCCCAGACGGAGCACAAATGTGTGTTGGACTCGTGCAGACATTTGCAAGACGAGGGGTACGATATCACGTATCTCCCCGTCAAGAGCAACGGTTTGATCGATCTGGAGCAGTTGGAGAAGGAGATTCGCCCGGACACGGCGTTAGTTTCAATTATGACAGTCAATAATGAGATTGGGGTCATCCAGCCGATGGAGGAAATCGGGAAGCTGTGTCGAAGGAAAGGTGTCTTCTTCCACACCGATGGCGCACAGGCCGTGGGAAAGATTCCCGTCGACGTCGGCAAGTGGAATGTCGACTTGATGAGCATCTCTGGCCACAAAATCTACGGACCAAAGGGTATTGGAGCCTGTTATATTCGCCGCAGGCCAAAAGTCAGAATTGACCCGCTCATCTCTGGCGGTGGCCAGGAACGTGGCCTTCGTAGTGGGACTCTCGCGCCCCCATTGGTAATCGGTTTTGGGGAAGCCTGTAGAGTTGCCAAAGAGGAGATCGAGGTACGTCCCCTCCTCGCCCAGCTCCCCTACCTGCAAGCCGCTAAAATTGATGTAAAAACCAGTACGATCACAAACGCGTCACCGCCCTCTCAAACCGCCTGCAATCCGGCCTCCTAGCAATGGAGCACACGACCCTAAACGGGGACCCAAATTCCCGTTACCCCGGCTGCGTCAACGTCTCCTTTGCATACGTAGAAGGAGAATCCCTCCTAATGGCGCTCAAGGACATTGCCCTCTCCTCCGGCTCAGCATGTACCTCTGCCTCCTTGGAGCCCAGTTATGTCCTTAGAGCCCTCGGGTCTAGTGACGAGAGCGCACACTCTAGCATCCGCTTTGGCATCGGTAGGTTTACCACCGAGGCTGAGATCGATTACGTGCTTAATGCCGTCCGGAATCGAGTCACGGTTTTGAGGGAGATGAGCCCGTTGTGGGAGCTTGTGCAGGAGGGGGTGGACCTGAATACTATTGAGTGGTCGCAGCATTAGAGAGAGAGAGTGTGTGTTCCGTACGAGGCTGCTGTTAAATAGGGTTTGGTTCACTCATTCGCTCACATTCGTTTAGTTGATTAATTGTTACAGTGGATTCCTTTTTCCGGGTGGTTTTTTTTATCCCTTATTATTATTCCCCCTCTTCCCCTCCACCCTAGCGCTGTATCGTGATTTCTTGTAGTATTTCGATTTTTCCAATTTCAGTTGAGTGTGTGGTGGGGGGCGTTGGGGTTTGTTTACTCGAGTGGGGTGGCTTTGGATCGCCAAATTTGGAGAATCTCATTTGCCTGATGCTGGTGGGGTGAAGTGGCTCTGCGTGTTTATATCTATCTACTTACGGACTCCGGCGGTTCCTCACCGCTTGACCTATTCCCGGCTTTGTGCCCAAACACGCCATCCTTTTTATTTTAGTTTGCCATAGTTCGCAGCTAGAGAGCTGTGCTCCCACGAAAAAGTGCAAGACGAAAGACCTAGTTCCGGGAGCATGAATGCGCGGGTACAAGAAGCAAACAATCAAGCCTTCTAGGCAAACAGGAATTGGAAGTGTGAAGATGTAATGGTAGTGAGGGGGAGTAAGGGCGGGAGGAAAAAAAAAAGAAAGGTAGATAGGGGAGTGGAACAAGGAATATTATTCTATAATGTTGGATAAGAATAGGGATAGTGGTACTCATAGAGGCGCTCTACGAAATGTGTATTGAGAATGTGTGCGGCGGAGGATTCTAAACAAGCTCTCTGGTTGATCTAGTTGCTGGACTTTGTCGAGTAGTCTGGAGGCGTTCGTGATTCTCGATAAGCTAGTGGAGGAGAAGAGGTGCTGTGGAGGGGGGGAGGCCTTGAGGATGGTACCTACCAGTCTGCTAAGCCACTGTACTGTACTTTACTCGTATGGTACAGTTATTTCCAATGGCAGTGCTCTATGCTTACAGTATGAATTTATGGATAATAATTTGCGTCAAGTAGTAGCTCTGCCATAAGAAATCGAGGAAAATTCTGTGTTGTCTGGTTTGTGTTGATTTTCGCCAAGAGGGGGTTTTTTCTTCTTCCTACTCGTACAGAAAGTACTAGATATCATAGTTGGTGTGTGGAGTTGGTCCCATGAGGGAAATGACTGCAAGATATCATATTATAAGTATATGTTATAGATCAAGCTTTTCAATTCTTATTTATAATACAGGGTAAAGCAAGATCTGTGAGTGATTTGGAGCTTTTGAGGAGATGATTGTGTTCACTGGTTAATTTCTGTCAGTTTACTTTGTGTATATATATTAAAGGCTTGAGATGTCATAAGAACGTGTATGCTAGGACAATGAACTGGTGATTGGACAAAAAAAAAAAACTATTATAAGAATGGAATATTTTATTGTTTGGATCTGATGATGCCCAACAAAGTTCAAGTTAGTGATAATAATCTTGGAACTTGAAGTTGATTACCTGTAACCAATATTATACCATTTGAAAATAGAATTTCTCTTTTTTTTTTTCTTTTCACTTTGCGATCACCACTGGTCACTCACCCAGTAAGGAATGCTATGATAGGACCAATGCAGAATTTAGGGGGTGTTTGGCTTGTCCATTCTGATTCGAAATCATGATTTGAGATCACATCTTGGCAAATTTAACTTAGATTATTTATGCTATTAATCTTCTAATTGCATGTAATTTGAAGTAATCTATATTAAATTTACCAAGATGAGATCTCAAATCATGATTTCAAATAAGAATTGGCATGCCAAACACCCCCTTAAATAGGTTCTCGAACTAGATAACCTGGTAGAAATACCTGTGCGCCTTTCCCTCTCTGATACCAGCATGCCCTATCAAGCCCACTATCCGACCTACCATATGAACCTTAACCGCCCTCTTAGAGTTTTTGCCTTTAAGGGTATACAACTGTGAGGATATCCCAACCCACAATTGCGTGAGTATAATATCATACATGAATTGGGTCAAAACCCTTTACTACCAGAAGCCGGGCACTGAGCTGGAAACCGGAGGAAGTGAAGCATTAGCTCTCGTGAATAACGGGAATAGGGCCGCTAGAGCCACCAAATGGAAACTTGGTCGCACTAAATGTCCTGGAACCCAGGAAATGATAAACTTCAGATTAGCAACCGTTCTAACACCATGCTTGGTGCTGCGGATACGGGAAATGTATATCCGATGCTCACCCCAAGACCCAGAACATCCCAAGAGGTTTCCAGTAACATGCCAAACATGCCCAGATTCCGCCCACACTGAGCAATCATTATGGGGTCAGAATGCGTGGCGAGTGAGAGCCATGGGAGCCGGTGGGAATGCTCTCGAACCTCCACTCTCCGAGTCGAGGCCAAAGCCCCCCCCGGGGCGTAGCCCCACATATCACGAATCCAGTTGTGATACCACGGAACGTGATTTTCTGATCCTTCCGCTTGGTTCCCGGATTTCAAAATTCTTTAGCCCAAAAGATGAATGCTTTGGGAGGAACATTTACAGATGGAGGGGGGTCTTGCAAGACTGTAGCTGGCGTAGAAAGCTCTAACGAGGACTTACTAGGATATTGGGAGTTTCCTAGGCTATTTTTCCACTTATTCCTACCACTGGATAGACAGGTGGAGTGGCAGTTGAAGTTCTTGAGATAATCTGGGGGTGGGTTCGAGGCTCCCCCGGTGCTGGGAGGTTAGGGTATTCCAGGATTTGGTGGTTCTCAACCCCCCCTTTCTCTATTCCAGACCCGCCGCCCATATGCGGAAATGGACTCACTCTTCTATCACTTGACCAACGTCACTAGATAGTAAACTCCTGATGGAACCCCGAAAACCTTGGTTCCGAGACGCCCTTACCACAAAACCGCGAGAGGGGATTATGAACAGGCAAAGAACGTGCGCCTGAACGGGGAGAGAGAAAAATCGGCCAGATGGCGCTGCTGCTATCCTGGCTAGAGGTAATATAACAGGACGTGTAGCCTTGGGCTGGCCTGCCCGGATCCTGCGGACTAGAATGCTCGCATAATCTCATTTGGGTTTCTCTGGTCCTCGATATTAGGAAAGATAAATGGAGACAGCTTCCCGGAGAATTATATACCGACGTTGTCTCCACGGCGCCGCGCGATCAAACGGTATGCTACTCCAAGAACCTTGATAAAAGCATCTGCCTTGATGGAACCCGACGAACACCAGACATGCTAGGAGCAGTGGTAGGGCCGATTTACCCTTCAGGTGATGAATGACGTGGGGGGAAGACACAGGGTCTTCCAGGACCATACCTAGGGGGGCTGAAATCATAAACAGAAATCCATGACCATTTGTAGGGATTACTGGTCCGGTCTCTGCTAGGTTCAAAGAAACCGCTACGTAGCCCATGATTAAAGGGACATTGCTTGGACAAGGTAAGTGGCAGTTTACTCTATGTCCTACGGGCTCTATCTTTATACGGGATGATGTTTATAACTCCTATCATTCACCAGAAGGGGCTTGGAGCAGATCACCAGCGACGGATACTGTTAGAATGCTAGAAGGGAGCCAGTCCATGGTTAGAGGCTAATATATTCTTCCCTCGAATTTGCAGCTGACCATTGGACACGCACCCACGAGATATGTAGGATCAGGATAAGAGTTACCCAAGTTCACGCAGTTGATCAACAATAGTAGATATAATAGGTTTCTGATCTGGCTCAAGGTATTCTGGGGAAATCGTGTCCGGTATCGCTCATCCCACGTGCGATTTTGCATGTTTCATTATGGAGCCGTGGCGTGGGCGGAAGGCGGTAGTCGGGTGAATATTAGGAGAAGGAGGGATCAATACCAATCCGAACGATGCGGCACTACGGTGACTGTGGCAGCTCTCCCGAAAGAAGGATATATAGCCCGTTTTCTAATAGAGAGGTTCATTCCGGAAATAGTCGTAGAGGCGAACATTAAAAACCATATGATACCACAGTGCACCCACAAGACCCGCGCAAGCGCGATAACGACGAAGGAAGAATTTGAGACCTAGAAGACCTCTGCGGTCAGAGCAGGGGATATGGAGGAGTACGGGAAGGAGAAAATAAGCTGGTTGGTGAGCCAAGGAGTCGGCGGGCGGGGCTTGTCCGTGATTAGCAGGAGTGTCCTGTGATGAGCCGTCATTGATTGCCTTCCCTCGAGGTTGTTGCAAGGACTATTGGCCCTGATCACAAAGCGATTGCTTACTTTACTCCTATATCTCGACTCTTCCACGCTATAGTAGGGGATACATGACCGGTAGCTAAAGAATTGAGTTGCCACAGTAAAATGGGGGAGCGAACATATAGACAAACATCTCGACCCCCGGGCAATTGCGCATGGACATCCACTCCCCCAATCGGACCTGGAGCAAGTTTTCAGCAATGCACCCAGACAAAGTTGGGAACCCTGGGCTCAAACGAAAGAAATACGCCAAGGAAGAGAACCTTTTATTGAACAGAAGCGGCGCAAAATGTGAAATATTTTGGATCAAAAGTGTGGATGGGTGTATTCTAGGGATTTCGGCGGCTCCACTGGATCGTAGGGCAGCTGGGGGTCTTGACCCGGATTTTCTCCCTGTTACCTCCTTACCATCCCTTCTCTTTCTAGGTCAGGGTGTGGGTAACGCTACTGGGACAGCGGGCGGGGGTGGGGCTGGACTGTGGCTGACCTATAGGAGGTTGAAAGGCCCAGGCAGGCCAGATGCAGGCTAGGTGGTAGAGGAGGGTAGGGTCATAGATAATCACTCGTCTTTGGCCAACTCAGTTTGGTAAAGGGAGAGGCTGAATCAAACCAAATCTTGGGATCTTTGGGCCAGGAAGGTCCAAAGGGTACCAATAAAAACAAACTGGCCCCACTATGAGGGGGAAAATGAACTTTTTCCCACGATTCTCCTCATCCACAGCAGACTGGGTCGAGGGTCTTCTTCGAAGGCTCGGTACGGTCCATGCCTAGGGATGGGTTTCCGTATGATACGGGAGCGATGAATCGCAACCACCACCCTTGAGGACCCTAAGTGGCCACCCCTTCGTCTATGCCCTAGACCAAAATTTGTGAGGATTGTGACGTAGGCTTGATTACTTTTTCGGCAAGGGTTTTCCCCTGGAGCCTGTTGCAAGTGAAATGGGGGCGACAATGGTGGTTTGAAGCGACCAATTTTTCTCGTGATGTGGCTCGTTTCTCGTAGACGCGTGCGGAGCGGGAGCATGCTCGAAGGAGAAGAGGAGGGTAATTTGTTAAATAGGAAAGCGGGTCAGACGCGGAAGTGAGTCTGCGGAAGCGTATCATACTGGACCAAAAAATTTCGAAACATCGAAATCTCTGTTGTCGTCGACAAGTGAAATTCAGCAGGGTAGGAGATGTTCCTGCTAGCACAGTATGTTGGGTACAGTGTATCCTTTTTCTTCTTCCCGGATTGGAAGTTTTGATTTTTTCGGGAAAAGTCTGCAGTGAGGATTTGAGCAAAATCCTTATGCAAAATATTGTACTCCTGTGTTTGGCATGCTTTATGGCAAATACGTTAAGAGCAGAGTGTTCATTTTGCGGAGTCTGTAAACTCCATTCTAACCTCTGCACTTTACCTTCGGTGACCTTGCCGCACTCAAATATCGTGATACTAGTTGGGGGACACACTATTGGCTAACACCATAAAGTGGCCTTGCCCAAGTTTTAGTGTTTGCTTATTACTCAGGGGATTTGCCTTGGAACTTCGGATACCACGCCCTAGTTACCCTGGTCTCCAATTTGGCAAGAGGTAGAGCCGCTGGTGTCAATTAGCCAGTCCGAGATTCAAAGGGTTTCCACACCCATCATCGGTAGTGGGAATAAATACTATCACTGGGAAATCCCCCGCCAACAAGATCCG